TTTTCAACAAGAAGTCGAAAATATCAGTTTTTACCAAAAATGACAAAAATATTCACCAAAATTAGAGAATTAAAGATATCATTACAAAATGAACAAAACTGAGAGAGGTCCACATGTAGTACCTATATATGTAATATCAAAGCAATTGCACTTGCGGTTTTTAACAAGAAGTCGAAAATATCAGTTTTTACCAAAAATGACAAAAATATTCACCAAAATTAGAGAATTAAAGATATCAACATGAAATGAACAAACCTAAGAGAGGTCTAACCAAGGTACATATACACCAAGTATCAAAGCATTTAGGCTTGTAGTTTTCAAGAAGAAGTCGAAAAAGTAAAACATTGACACGGACGACGGAGACGGATGACGACGACGACGGACAATCACTCATATGATAAGCTCCGCTCGACAAAGTCGACAGCGGAGCTAATAAAAGCAATTTGGATTACATGCACGTCTATAAGAAGAGTGCTTTTAATAGAGCAAATACAATACTGTTGCCATGATAAAAAACTAACACCTGAAAAATTATATTGTCACCTACTGCAAACCAGTCTTTTTTTTACTAATGTGCATTGTAATGGCTTTTGTTTGGTAATGTTTTAGAAATTGTCACATTGTTTAAAAAATTGCAGCAATATGACATTTTTTTTTAAATAGAAGTAACAACAGTCTGTGATTATGAGAATTTTCCCGCAAATGTAGGTAAATGTACCAGAGAAACCAAATTTATAAAAAGGCTATCTTCACTCTGGAATTTAATAAGGTCAGATTGATTGATTGAATGAATGAATATATTCTACACATTGGTTGCCTGCTGATAATTTTGAAAAGAAACATTTCTTTTTTTTCTTAATTACAGAATTTTATAGTCAAAATGTCAACAAATCATAGTTAAGATATAATAGGCGATACAAAGCCACAGTGATTGGGTTTGCTCTATATTGGTATGTTAGTCTGATGGCCTAATGTTCAACTCGCTGAATTCAACCTGCAAAGTAGTTTGCTCACCATATATACTTTTAGATCTGATTTGCATGTTGTTCAGGTAAAACTTGAATATTTAAATTAATTAATTTATATATCAATGTGCCCAAATAGTTGATTTAAATTTTCTAGAAAAACGCAAAATACAGAGGAAAATGTAATAAAAAATATAATAAGTGGCCTTACAAATATTAGGTAATTTGTAAATTCATTATTTGGAAAAACCACAAGACATTTCCAGCACATCATTTCATGCCATGTATTTTCATTCAGGTAGCTTTAAAGATTCTTATCACTGCACTGACAGTCACAAAAATGAGTTCATTAATTTAGAAAAAAAAAAAAAATTGGACAATCCTAATATCTCATTACATTACCTGATTTGGGTTTGTCCAAACGTCTCTTTTTATCTTTTGTTACAAAGTACTAATTATCAAGAAAAAGCATTGAACACAGTTTAGAAATATTCTTCCAAAGTTAATCCTACTGAAAGACTGGTTTGCACTATTTAAAGGGCAGTCGCATGCAAAACACATGGTCTAATAAATTGAAACCTTTTTATGCAAACTATTAATCCACATTTTGTAAATGCAATTTAGAATACATGCATTCAATTTGTCGGAGATTCGTGTTGACGTGAAACGAGAATACAGTTTTTCAGTATAAAGCATTATCCAAGACTGACTAGTAGTTAAAATTAGCTATACAACTAAATTGGCTTCAAATCCTAGAACCGATCTGATTAGCGCTTTGGAAAATTGAAGAGAATCTATTTTCATCTTTTTAACCTGTGCCGTATACTTATTCCCATCCAAAATTAAGTAGATAATATTTTCACATTTTTCAATATTGTCACTTAAATTCATCATCATTTTGGATCATACAGACAATTTGAGATTGCTTTTAGATTTTTGAACAAAAGGTTTTGCCAGTTTTCAACAACATTTAATGTGGGGGTGGGGGTGGTCGAGAGCAGACTATACAAAATCATTTTGTAGATTGTGCCAAAAGTTGACAATGTATGCGCTCAAAAAGTTAAAGTTAATTAATCAGTTTGAAAAATGAATTGGCAGATGACAAATCAAGTGATAATAAACATTTGATGGGTTATACGAATATGCAGACAAATAATACGACATAAGAGAATAGACTAGATGCAAATGAATGCCCAGATCTGATTGAGAGCAAGCAAACCATGTGACTTACTTCCTCCCCTCAAATAGTGTTCTATTCTCTCCCATGATCGTTTCTACAAATTAAAACCAAGTGACAGTGAATGTAATGATAGGAGAGAATGGAGCCTTTTTTGAAGGGCAGAAACATGCTTTAATACCTTTGCCGTCCATTGGGTTAATTATAGCTGTAGTTGCAGTCACTAGTACGGACAATGATTTTATCGCAATAAATTGCAAGAAATTTAAATTTGCTTTTTTTTTTTTCGATGACAAGCAGGCAATCTATACTATGCGTAATAACATGGTGATACGAGAAGGTCAGTTAACACAACCAGCTGATCATCCGTGAACTGTTGTTTGTGTTCCTGCCAGTTGTCGTGGTGCGTTCTCTTGAAATCGGACAGCGTCTTCTTAACTGTCATCTGTAGAAACAAAACATGGCATGTATAAATTATCTGTGTTGAATACTTGTTGCACAGTGTTTCTGATTGGATGTATTGTTATTGGAGTATGTCGTCATGGTGACAGCGAATGAGATCATCAGGGGTGCTTTTCTGAAAGAGATGAAGAGGTTAATGAAGTATGGGTAGATGAGAAGCATCTTCTCAAAATCAATTGAGCGTCATTGGTTTTTGAGAGTGTTCAAATAATCTACTGCCTTAACCTCTTTACCTATTTCACAAACACATCAAAATTCTGATTGCGCAAACACAGTAAAAAAAACCTGACAATTTCTAATCAGTCCTAAATACAACATGAATATAAATCAAATGATCAGCGCAAATAAATTGTTGCACAACTAAGTAAGCCTTGCATCTTTAGTATTCATATTTAGAGGTCTGAAAAGTATCAGAGTTTACACAGAGCGTGTACAGATCCAGGGCTAAAAAACTAGATAAATCCAGTTGTGGTTCAATCTTGGCAAGAACTCAACTGAGCTTGATATTCCCAGCTGAAGGAACCAATACAAAGGTTGGCTCACAGTCTAATCTGATCTGACAGTGGGCAGCAAACTGTATGTCTGATTAGACTTTCAATCCTGACATGTTGGATTTCATGAGATTGAGAAAACGGCGCCACAAGAAGCAATATGAACCATCTTTAAGATTGCAAGCAGGAGTTTTCGTTTTCACAATGCAGTTGCGTTGAAGATTTTTGCATACATTTTCCAAAAAACCTGAATATTGTTGTAACTTTCTTACTTTATGTGACAATCAGTCAGCCAGCTTGTCAAAATATCTAACAATCACGATTACAAGAAGCTGCGATTCTATTTGAAGCATTATGGGTGTCATGAAAGTCTAAGAAAATGAAACTCTTTCGTTTCCATAAATCATTCATTTGTTTACAGAGAAGGTTTTTCCTGCCTGGTAATTCAATACAGGATAATGCTTTTAAGTTGATTGGCTGTAATTCTGTGTCTGAGCATTTTCTTTTTAAAACTCCAGACGCATTTCCCCCCGTGTCGTTGACCTGTAAGTTGTCTAAGCATTAAAAGTAAGTCAATTGAAGACTTAGTTTGAATTTGCAATTTTGTTTATCAAAAATTTGTGAGTTCTATGAGAGGAAATCTGGTTCAAGATAAAACACTCCGTATTCATGAGTTTATTTATTCTGTGATGCTGCATATACATATTCAGTCGCAGTCGAAAATAAACCATGAAATCTGAGAATACGAAAAAACGCAAAGTCAAATTAGTCTTGTTGAATCACGGAGAGATGAAAGATCAAGCAAATTGAGTATCACCATGGAAAGATTAAATGAAACCAGAACCTAGATGACATATCAACTTGATAGGAGTATTCAATTACTAATTCTAAATTGAATATCACTTTTCAATATATTAAAAAAAAACACACACTACAGTTCAAGATGATCGTTGATGAACTCGCTAGTTGAACATAAAAGCAGACTTCAAATTAGCTGCATTGTTAATGATGCTAATGACTCTCATTGTTACAGCGGTGTCCATTTCACTAACATTCTAATCTCAATTCTGATTTTTTGAATACTGTATTAAAAGGTTTATAATTTAGATATCACAGAGGATATAGAAGCCTGACATTTGCAATTCCAAAAATAGGCATGACCTCAAGTTCAACTCGCATAACGTCACCAACAAAGTAAATTAACTTGGCACAGTATTGGAATAAACTGACTGATTAGGAGTCCAATACTAGATCTTGGAGAATGGCTTTCATTACAGTTGAATCATTAGTTCCTTATTCTTATTCTATTTAATATGCAAATAGACTTGTAACAATATCAATATCACTGATTTTACCTGTATTGGATGATTGCACGGTTCTATAACTGTGGCACAACAAAGACAGACAGCAAATGACAAAAACCATTGGGGGTGGTGAGCCACAAATTGAAAGGACTACTTTTAGCAATGTGAAAAGATGTTTACTACCCGGTAGTAATTTATTACGCGGCTATAAACATTCTTAAGATTAAAGTAGCATTACGGCAAACTAAATCCAAGTGATATAATGCATCAAAGGATAATGTGGTTTTCAAAGCAGAGTAAAATGACTGGCAGTCATTAAAGCAAACCATGGTCTCTATTGTAAAGATATTTAATCACATTTCTATTGTCGTAAATTATTGTTATAAAATGGTACTGGACGAACAGAATAACAAATATGTGATAAATACTGACAACCTGTCGCCACTTATCCATAAACTCTCGTTGCTTATAATAGGCTTTTCCATGGAAACCGTCATTTCATGTGAAATTTCTTTCATTCTGGCACTTGTTTTTCATTCCAACAACATGTTTTTTACAAAACATAATTTTGTTTTTGAATCATTTTTATGGGTGCTAGGCAACAGCTCGAGATATTGATTGGATGTGTTCACTGTCTCTCCTGTGGTAATTGCAGGTGTATTTTGCATTACGGTCTACGTGTTTCATTACAAATTGAAATTGTACGGCATCGGTAGTAATTACAAGTCAATTGTCGTATAAAACTAAAAATGATCGGTTGCAGATGATGTGCAATCGTATAGCATTGCTTACTGAGAATTTGGCGTAGTGTGGAGGGTAGATTATCACAACAAGTAAGGTAGGTATTACTATCATTGGCACAGAATATTAAATAACAAAAACAAAAAAAAAAATCAGAAGAAAATATTAACATGGTCACAAAATCAACCATGACTGCAGACACAAATTATTCAAAATAGAGGAGTAGATTCAGTCTGAGCCATTAGAACAATTTCATTAAACGCATCAATGCATGTTGCCTAGGAAACTAGTTTCATCCGCCTCTATACTCTGAGACATATGTATGCATCATACTGTAAATGTAATACACAACGATAAATTGTTTCGTGATTCATTGTAAAATCTGAAAGGGGATAAAAGCAGTACTCTAGCACTCCACTGTACCATATTTCAAGTACTCAGTATTAAATACCCGATTAAAAAAAAACCAAAAAAAACCTTGCTATTCATCTACAACTAATCATCAGCGATGGAGGACATTTCTGGTTGCCATGGCAACAAAATAAGCGATAACAGCAGCATTACCTGATATATCCTTCTCATAGTATAAAGTAATATTAATGAAGCTAATAAAAAAACAAGCAGCCAGTCGGCTGAGATAGATATATGTATAGTGTCAAAGCAGTGGGACTTGCTGTTTTCAACAAGAATTCAAAAATATCACTTTTCACCAAAAATGACAAAAACAATCATCAAAATTAGATACTTGAAGATATCACCATGAAATTAACAAATCTGAAAGAGGTCCACATGTAGTACCTATATATGTAATATAAAAACAATCAGACTTGCGATTTTTAACAAGAAGTCGTAAATATCACTTTTTACCAAAATGAATTAATCTGAGAGTGGTCCACATGTAGTACCTATATATATAATATCAAAGCAATTGGACTTTTAGTTTTTAACAAGAAGTCGAAAATATCACTTTTTACCAAAAATGACAAAAATATTCACCAAAATTAGAAAATTAAAGATATCAATACAAAATGAATTAATCTGAGAGTGATCCACATGTAGTACCTATATATGTAATATCAAAGCAATTGGACTTGCGGTTTTCAACAAGAAGTTGAAAATATCACTTTTTACCAAAAATGACAAAAATATTCACCAAAATTAGAGAATTGAAGATATCATTACAAAATGAACAAATCTGAGAGAGGTCTACCCAAGGTATCAAAGCATTCAGGCTTATAGTTTTCAAGGAGAAGTCAAAAAAGTAAAACATTGACACGGACGACGACGGACAATTACTCATATGATAAGCTCGCTCGACAAAGTCGACAGCGGAGCTAAAAAGGTGATTTCTGGCTACCCACCCTAAATATAAACCAGTCAATACTGAGAAGTCAAAGTTGGAGGAGAAGTATTTGGAAAAACTATTTTCTCAATTGATGACAACTTTTAGATGACTTCTTGATTTATGTGTTGAGCTGAGCAATACTCTTACCACCGTGACTCGATCAATGAGAATTCAATGAGTTGTTCATTAAAAGCAATCTCACAAATAATAAATCTACTTTATAGAGTTGATAGATCAGAAGGAAGGAATACACTGAATATTATGAACCTAAAAAGCTTGAAAACTAACTCTTCTGGGAATAAAACCTAATTTTAAACAGTGCTCATACAGCTGTATGTAAGCATGTACACTTGTGTCGCATTATAACTAAAAGCCAGAATGTAGGAAACGATGTAGTATAAAGTGTCTTAGAGATATAGTGAAGACATATGCCAGGGTTAGCAAGACAAATATCATTATCACACAACTGTATCCTATCAAGAAGATGTTGCTAAAAATAAAATTGATTAAAAATTGGTCTGGAATTCAAATACCATCTAAAGATTCTGTAAACACCAAAATTGAGTGTCACAGGCTTGATAGGAAGGGTCAAAGTCATTATCCAGGATTCAATCTCTAGATGTATGTTGGAGGGGGGTGGTGTATGTGTGTGTTGACTTGCGCAAGTTCCCATGGTGATAGTGTTTATCCATGCTTGGTTGAATCTATGATAGCACATTATGATAGGCATATTCATTAATGTCTTGTTGTCTTAATCATGTAATGATGGTTTCTCTGGCAAAACACATAGCATGTGCGGCCATATAAAACAGGGATATCTAACTTCCTGTGTGCAATGTGCGTTATAATCTCCAGGATAGTGAAGACCATTAATGCATATACCGGTAACAGTTTTTATGTTTTTTTTTTATATATATATTTTTAGTTATAAAGTGTCAATATTCATATATGGAAAAGAGAGGATGTGACTAAGATTACATGATAGGAATATCTACAGTTGCACGTCCCCATTGTAATACCAAGGTCTATGGTACGCCGCACACACAAGAGACATCAGAGACATTCAAAGTCTGTCTGTCCGTTTTTTCAATTATTTTACAAAACAACAATACAGCCATACACAGGATGTTGATTTGTTTCTGGACCACAGATTCACAACTTGTGAAAGCAATAAAAATATAATGTATTTATATGCCTAATTAAACCACGCAAACTGGATTCCGGAAAGACGTATACTTGATGAGTCTGAGTTCGATGGTGATTGCTTAAAACAAGCGGAAAACTTAAAAGCTGTGTCGTTTTGCAACAGATCATTAGACCCAAGAAAAAGCACTTTTATTCTTTGGAAAATGTCAATGGAGGCTGAAATGATTGCCACAGGGCACAAGAATACATGTGACGTATATAAAAGCGTACAGAGAAAGATCACGTTTTAATGTCATATTTAATTGTTTAGATACACTTGATTGAAGTTCAATACTCTTAGTGAAATGAAGTCCTCCTCATGGAATTTAAATGTTACTAGTAGTTTGAAAAAAAGGATTACTTGCAAATGTCACTGTAAGCAAACATATTGAATAATTAAAAAAAAAAAAAATGTGTTGTCAAAGAACATTGCTATTATACGAGTTCAGTATAAAAAGCAGGATCACAAACATCATCAATTGTAAGTGGTTTCGTTTCATCGATTATAAAAAAGCCCACCCACAGATTATTGCTTCAAGCTTACCTCGATGGGTTGAGGATCATGTAAATGATTACCAAGATCCATTAGTACTTGCGGCATCCACTGCGGTACGTCGTACGGATATGCTTGAATGCACGCACTTAGTCCCAGTACGCCAGCATGTCTTTGAATGAGTGCTGAAAAAAAGGAGATTAAAAAGGTAAGTAAACAATACAATACCATGATACATGTATTGGCTCCTTCAACTCCATGAAGGTCCAGAAGACGGTGGAACTACAACAGGTGGTTTTATGACTTGTATGCAAACCTCTTTGCTGCGTATACAATACGTGTAGAAAAAACATTGTTCGCATGATTGTGTGTTGCATGATGTTTTAAACTGAGGAATATTCTAAGCATCTCCCCCAGCCAAGGTCCATTTATCCGGCCACCACCCTCACTTTTATACCTTGCCAGAATTCACACTATAAACCTCTATTCGCTGATGACGAAATTAAACACAACAGCAGATGCCCTGATGTATTTTTATGGCAAAAAAGAACATAAAGTCAAGTGTTGTGGGAAATCAAATGCAAAGTCATGTTTTTTTGTCAGTTATACTGTGACTTGATATACAGCACTATATATTGGTTAAAATTTCAAATTGATCTGAGATGTTACAGGAACAGTGATTGATGAATCCAATTTAACTGAGGTCAAATACAGTTTTCCTGACATGATCATGGTTCATAGAGACAGCTATGGATGGCGAACTTCAGCAAAATAATGTGAATCGGGCAATGTTATTTTATTTATTGGCCCAAGCATAAAGCTATATTGGCCCTCATTCTTGCCTTGTTTGTCAACACGAGCCAAACTAGAATGGACAATCTATAATAGAACAGCCCTGCTCGACTTCATTGATAGTAGAGCTAAAAAGTTTATGCCGGAATCAACAACAATATCAACAAAGGCAGATATTAACCTTCATCTATGATGATACTAGAAAAAAAAGCAGACCATTTGATAGTGCAGATTATTACATCATACATAATTACAGCAAGATGGTCAATAAACAAAATTTATTGAAGGCAGCACACCTGCTCTGCTGCCTTCAACATTTCCTCAACACATTCTATTTCCTCAACACATTCTGTTTCTAAGAATTCTTAGCGGCAGGATGATAAGATTCTAAGGATCACAGTCATAAAACTGAGAATGCTGATAAACGCCATCAATTCATTACTAGAGAGTTTTACAAATTGTGGTGAAGGAAAAAAAAGCTTTTACGGGATTATTAGACGACAGGAATGATAACTCATCTAGTTCGGAATCATCGGAGAGCATTGCATCTTGAAATCCGAAATACCAAAGCATCAACACGTTCATTTAGGCGTGCATAATCCCAGTCAGTTCCTAGGGTTACAAGGGGTTTTCTCAAATTGTTAAGATAAGCCAAAAAAATGCCAGATATTCAAGTAACCTATGGTGCCCTCCCCCATTTGATAGTAGAACTGAGAGTTGTTTATGTTGGTGTAAAAAACAGTTAAAAAATTGAATCTGTTAAAAATACCAAAAATTCCCAATGAATGAAAAACAATTTAATATGTCAATATAATGATGTCATATTAACATATTTAAATACAGCTAATAAGATGATTTTACATGACTGATTATATTTTATGTATGACTTATTCTACTAGGTTCTTTTTTAGCACCCTCCCCCTTGAGGACAAATAAATAAATATCAGTCTGACTACTGTTCTTTGTACCTAGAGGTCATTATTATGTGTAGCTTTCCACAAACAGCTTTGGGTCGTCATGGCAGCACACAAAAACATCGCCATAACAACAGAATTAAAATTCAAAACATTCTGTACATATGTGTCAGTTGCAAGATTTTGATCACACACCTTTAACGTTCCTGAGTTTGTTTTAATCTTGTGGTGGTATTTAAATCGCTAATGACAAAACCATGTTTTTTTTTTTTGTACAGTGAGTAATAAGTAATCCCAGCTACATTACATTCACTTCAATGTATAAAATTTTGCTAATTTGCATATCAATAAATTAAATGATCCAAGTCCACATGTTTGTGTGTGTGTGTGTGTGGGGGGGGGGATTGGCGGGGCTGTGTGTCAATATACGACAGCCATATAAAATAGTGTATATAACTTTTTGTTTTGACCTATTTGTTTTATTTCATTCAATCTTCACATTTTGTGAATGATATACTAACAATACATGACGATTGGCAACATCCTTGTAGAGATGGGCTTACATTTTTGTATCCTATGTTCAGAAACCTACCCCTTCAAATTGTGTATCTTATGTTCACAAACCAGTCGCCTCAAATTGAAATATTTAGATATAATGTAATATGTGAATGGAATATAACGATGACAAAAAACGTGACATGAGGTTCTTATCTAACACGAGTGGCAGCTGTTACGCCTGTATACAAAGATGATAACGCAAGTTTGAAAGATGAATAAAAAAACAGACTGTTGTCTAACCTTCCATCCCTACGCCTGCTTTGCGGGGTAGCTTTGTCTTGCATAATCCTTCAAAATGACTCTGCAGGTCGTCGTTCATCTTCATAAAACCACAGTGTAGAAATCCGCTTAATGTGGTGCCAGCCATTTCTCTCACCTAGAAGAATGTGTTCAAAGAATTGTAAGTGATTGCGTCTGGATGATGTACCAAATATTGTGGTGAGATCAGCATGAAATTAAAGGGCGGCACTCGTTGTGCCGCGTCCTGTTCGATATGGGACTCATAGCGACGTATACATCGCGTGTAAAATACATTCTTTATTAACATGATATTCCAACCCATGCTGCGCGACGACCACCGGCTTTAAGGTACTTTAAATTACGCGAGTCAGGAGAGTTTGTGAAATTCACAACAATGCATCTTCAGGAATATACTCAAATGATGATAATCTCTAGAAATGAGAATGTAATGATTTACATTATCATCAAGTAGCGTATTTGCTCTATTAGTAAGTAGCACATACACCTACATAAATGTGTGTATACAGTCAAAAGAAATAATATTTGAACAATGTAGTATACAACCGATGCAGTAGATGGTTTTATTGGAGATGCACTTGTAATAGAGCAAATACGGTATATTAGAAAAGTTAATTGAAAATGTTTAAGGGTTTCTCGAGTCAAGGGAAAATTATAATATATTGTAGCAGTTAATATTTGACTAGACTACTTTAAATAAGACAGCTAGGAGGTCACCGCGACCTTTTGCATAATTTAATCTTTGTGAATTATGAATTTGTGTGAGAAAATGTTAGTTATGACAGTGACATTTTAAATGTAAATACATGAGAAAACAGTATCTAACGTGTACAGCACTTCTAGCTAGTTTTTGCTTGAAATTGTTAATAGTAATTTCAGATCTGTGTTATTTTTTCCCCTAGGGAAATAAAACACAATATGAGGAACATATTCACAAAATACATCAATGGATACAGTTAATTGCGTTTTTATTAACATTTTTATTTCACTATATACCCCAATAAAACACTGTATGTCGTAAGTAAGTATACATATCGCTATTTTTTGTGACGTGCATAAAACAGTTATCTATTAATAAAGTCTGTTATTACAAAGGTTTAACAATGGTAAACCATAATCTGTGAAATTATGATTTATTGACCAAATTTCGGTAAGCAACATAGTAATCAGTAAATTGAAATATAATCACCATAGGAACCAACAGCAAACATTTTAAAATTTGACAAATTGATCAATTTTTAGTAAATTTTCGATAATTTCACTGTTTTTCTCTAAACTAAAATTGTTTGGTGAAAGCAATTACATTGATTCAAGCATTACCGTAATTGGAATACAAAATGTCAATACAACTGACGGTTGGATGATAATTTATACATTAAGACATACCATACTTATCGATATATAGAAATCTACAATTATACATCCAATCACCGCTTGTCAACTCAAAAATACAAATAATCAATCACAGGAAGCTTTAAAGAACTCCCGTGTGCTGAGATAATAACTAATAAGGTTTCATGGAAATGTTCATTAGACCCAAAAATATATAAATTATTATATGTAAATTTAGTAATTAATATTAAAACAGATTTTAACCAAAAACTTACCAGGACTTTTGTTACATTGTCCTATGACATCTATGTACGAAGTTTCATTGAAATGGAATAATTAGTACTTGAAATATCAATGTAAAAGCCGAAAATTGACTAATTATGCAAATTAGTGTATTAGGTAATTAATATGCACAGATATTAACCCAAAACTAATCAGGTATGTACATTGTTCCATGGCAACTATGTACCAGGTTTCATTGAATTGGAATAATTAGTACTTGAGACATTGGCGTAAAAGCAGAAAATTTAGTAATCATTAAGCAAACATCTGTGCATTAGTCCAGACATAGACCCTCCAGTAGAGGGTCTATGGTCCAGAGCATCTATGTACCAAGTTTCATCAAAATCCAATGAGTGGTTCTTCAGATATCAGTGAAACAGTCTTGGAACAGCTAAAAATTAGCCAATTATCATGCAAATTAGGTAATTAATATGCATTGTGTGCTTTGAACACACAGGAGTCAAAAAAGAACACAGCAATTTAATGAAGTATACACACACACCTCCAGTTGATCATCTGTTAGTAACTGGACTACAATATTCTGTATCTCGGTAGTGAAATCTTTATTTGACGTCATAATAAACATGTTGTAGAAGACCATAACCTGAGTGTAATTCAAGATGCTGACCCGACTGTGCCACGAACTGCTTGAAGCAATCTGTAAGCAATAAAACAAGTGAAATGAGATTCGTGATGCTCAAGGGATATTTACGACATGTGTGTGCGTGACTGAGTAACAGGGCTAACAAGTACGTGTGGCCTGGAATTCAAGAGCTAAAATTAACAAAGAAATTCACGTATTCATAGTAGCCAATTACTACGAAAGCATGATAATGCATTGTTTGGTTGGTTGATACATGAACGACAAACATCAATTACGCATCAGGAGTATATCTGCTCTACTACATCATTTTATAATATTTCTATGGAAGTATACTTATTTATCAAGAGAAGCAGGTTAAGAAAAGATTTACTATGAATGCTGGCAAATTATTGACCATTGTTGATAATGTGGAGCTTTCATAGTGAAGAATAGTAGACCAATTTGTCAAGATTGGCTATTCAAGTGTACATGTATGTTAGATCACGACACCCAGCAGTCAGTGAAACTGATACTAAACGTTAAAGCAAGTGTCCCCATTCACAGAAAGCTCAGTGAATGTTAAACAAGCATCAAATCAATTTGGGATTTCAATATTAAAGTGTAGGTGTCAAGCGCAGTGTTTAGAAATAAGAATAAAGCTGTCAGCAACGAATGACTCACTAATAGTGAATGTCAAGTTTCTCATCTACATTGCTGACAGTTATGTTAATTATAGAATGCCAGGGAAACAATTCTTTTCCTTTTAAAGATTAATTGGAAAGGATTTTCAAAACTAACAAAGTGTCATTTGTGCAATGATCGAAATGTGCAATCGATACAGGTGGTTCTGTTTTCAAGAAAAAAAAAAAAAAAAAAATTAAACAAGTTGCATCCAATCACCATATTACCATAATTTCTATGAATTCAGAACAGGTTTTGTGCAGTAACAGACATTCCCAAAAACTTTTTTTTGATGTATCTATTCTTGAATACGAACATCAGGCATCAAATAATCACTATTGCTACACTATGGCAAGTCAAGGCTAAATGTTTCGCCAATTTGAATTTGGCAGAAAAGGATGTAAAAATAAGCCTAATATTGATAGATGAACAGTGATAAACATAGCACTGGGTAACTTGCATCAAATGCATTCACACGAAAAGATGAAAACTTAAATGATTACAATGTATCACTTTAAAGAAACAATTATGCAAAAAAAAAACCCCATTAATGTGATGCAAGAGCTGTTGCAAAGAAAAGCACATTCAGGTAATTCAAACACAAGATGTACCACTAATGCTGCAGTTGTGTATCCATTTCGTTCCAGTGATGATGAAATTTATCTAACCAAGATTTAAAAAAAGATTAATTATTAAAAGCATGGGATCAGGATTACCGGACACCCTAAATCCTAGGATTATGCCTAGCATAACATTGGCACACTACGCACAAGCGTGTTTTTTTTTTCTCGTTTAATTTTTGGGCCTAGAGGAGTCCGCTAAATGTCATGGCTTCAATCACATATCAGCTTTTGATGAATCTAATCCATTAATACTAAACTAGCACAAGGATAAAAAATATGATATGCCTGGTAATGAATAATCTTTTCTTACACGCGGCCTACAAGGCAATCAAATGACTGGGGGGCAATATATGTTAATTATTGAACCTGTGTCTACTGTCTGTGTAGACATTATTAAACAAGGCATATTGTTACAATCATTTTAGTGATGATTTCTAGTCCAAGGTATCATGACGCTGTTTAGTTCAGATGGGGGAAGGAAGAGTAACCTTTATTTCATCTATACCACATGCTAAGTGACCCCCATTTCAGAGTAACTTTTCTAATCAGACATACTGTAAAATAAAATATTTTTTGCTTGGGATTAATTTTCGTTGACGGGATGATTCAGTGAAAATAAAATCCGGCAAATATACCTTTTTTTCTTATATTTTTCATTCAAGTTGTCAAAAATCAGGCCAGACTTTTATTATCCCTTGTTTCGCGAACCCGCTGAATAAACAGGAACCGAAAATGAAATAAAAATACAATTTTATTTTAGCGTAATTTCTCACGCCCGCTGACTTGTAAGTGCAAAAAATTGCCCGCCACATAACAAACCCAAGTTGCATTTTCGTGGGAGTATCATGATCAAAGTACTGAAGTCTTGCGCAGATGAGAAACAAAGTTATACATGGAATAAAATTTTATTTCATTTCTTCTCTCCGATCAATGATCTCACTTACAATTCTTTGAGAATCACACAAATCTAATGGAAAAAAAGAATTAATTTTAGTTTTTTTTCGCCCTCCTCAAAAAAAATTGCCTTATAAAAACTCAAGAAACAAGGAATAAAAAAAGTCTGGCCTCAGTGAAAATAAATTCCATACAAAACACCCAAAAAGTATTTTCAGCAAAAATTAATTCCAGCTAAAATAAAGTATTTTACAGTAATGACTAACTGCTAGTACATTTGTAATAGTGATTTTGCCTTTCACCTCGCAGTGAGGTTCAGAAGGTCATACTTGCTTCTTTATCGTAATCTGGACTTTTACTGTGCTTATCCTGATTCATGATTACATATAGTATCCAGGGACCGGATTCCTGTCTTATAGGTTACCCTGCTTTCTACTAACATCTAGAATGTCTACTAATAATTTACCCAGTGTTTAGTGACTGTGATGTTGATTGGCCGATAAATATAGCATGCAACTAATCTGAATATGCTAATTTTCCAAACAATGGATGACAGTTGTATGTTTTCTCCAATATGCTACATTTGCGTACATCAATTGTCAGTTGTAACAGATAAAATGCAACCATTCCATGATTATATATAAAAATACAACATTCAATAGTTGTGATATAAACATCAATATTATTATAAAATTTTAATAGGTACTTGTGTACCTCAAAAAACAGTACAAAAGAAGATCAAAGACGAAAAAAGCTGAAGCTTAACAACATGCAAAGTATAAACTACAAATATCTTACTTGTTTTATAGCCTGCAAAGCTGCGGGTACTACATCTGGTTGAAGCAATGCCTGCGCCATACACGCCAATGTCACCTGCCCTTCCTGCCTTGACTCGTCGTCTGTCTCGCAGCTCTCCATCGGCACAAACTGAAAACACAAATAATACAATCATAGCATTGCTCTGAGCAGCAAATTGAAATCACAGCGAATAATTGTCATGTACATGTATTTACAAATGAACCCAATGAATAATTTATTTAAAAGTCAATTACGAAATATCACCTCAGGGAGGTATTTCATCAAAATCTTGTTTTCTTTCCAGATCTAACCAGAATCCAGAAAACGATAAAAACAAGCCATGCATGGCACAGTCCCAGTTAGTTATCGAATTTAAGATATATAGTTTTGTTTATATAGCTGGAATTTAAACAAGTCAGGAATATGATTATGATGATTGTTTAACATTTAAATGATTGACATTTGTATCTGATTGTCAAACGAGTATTGAGAGATATTGCTTTGGAACAGCATTAATTAAAACAAAATCAGCCATTTTGAATACATGTATAATGAATATATAAAATTTGAACATAGTCAATGCATGTCAGAAATATGGCTCTAGAAGCCCATTCATTAAAACAAAATGGCCACTAGTCAGCCATTCTGAATCTGATCTAAAAAATAGAATAACGTGCATCAGGAACCCGTAATGTCTAATGTATGTACCAATAAATGCCAGAAATGCTTGATATTTGATGATTTTTTAGCACAAAAATGGCCGCTAGTCGCCATTTTGAATCTTATCCGAAAACAAACTGATGTGCATCAAGGTGCTATAATGTCCAACGTATATACCAAGTTTGAACAAAATCCATCTGTAAACAGCTGAGAAATGCTTGATTTTGATGATTTTTAGAACAAAAATGGCCACTATTCGGCCATCTTGAATCAGATCGTGAAACAAATTGATGTGCATATGTATAATATCATGTATGATGTATGTGTGAAGTTTGGTTGTGATTGGTCCAGGCATTTCTAAGATACAGGTTCGGACGCACAAATGGACGCACGAAAGCACAGAAGTCAAAACATAAGTCCCCGTTTTCGGACTAATCAAAGATAGATGCATATAAAAAACATGAAACCTGGTGATACATACTGAAATTCACATAATTTGCATTTTAGTGACTTACTACTGGTAACAGTTGAAACAACTCTGGAGGTACTGCATAGAACATTCTGGACAAGCTACCCGTAACCCATTTCATAACTGAGGAAAAACCAAAAAAAAATACACATAGCACATTTGAAGCGAGATCATTGGAGATTTTGGCAGACCTATGTCAACATGCGCATATATTACAGAGTCAGAAATAAATTAAATCTGTATCTGATCAGAAAGTACATCAAAGTAGACTGCCCTCTGCAGGTGAATCGTCAAACAATAATGCCTCTAAGATACTGTAAAATAATTCTTTTTTGCTTGGAATTTATTTTTTCTGAACACCTGCAAGTCTTTTCAGCGAAAATTAATTCCAGCTAAAATAAAGTATTTTACAGTATTTGAAGACCCCAATATGTTATTGCAATAAACATTTCATTAACTGTCAATAATTACGCCAACAATTTCTAGAAATACTTAACCAGACAATCTAACATTGAAAGCCTTTGGTTAACTTGCACACTAATTAGCATAAATTTACATACTAACCTGAACTTGAGACTAATCATCTTTATTTAGATATAGCAAGAATGCATAAATTTTATGTATGTATATTTACGCTTATATCAACATAGCCGCAAGAAATTCAAAAAATTTCAATAATAAATTAAAAACAAGCAGCCTGTCGGCTGAGATAGCTCCGCTGTTAGCAATGCACATTTCAATTAAAGAACAGAAGATATCATTAGAAAATGAACAATATGTATAGTATCAATGCAATGGGACTTGCTGTTTTTAACATAAATTCAAAAATATCACTTTTTACCAAAAATGACAAAAATATTCACCAAAATTAGAAAATAAAGATATCATTATGAAATGAACAAATCTGATAGAGGTCCACATGTAGTACCTATATATGTAATATTAGAGCAATTGGACTTGTGGTTTTTAACAAGAAGTCGAAAATATCACTTTTTACCAAAAATTACAAAAATATTCATCAAAATTAGAGAATTGATGATATCATTACAAAATGAACAAATCTGAGAAAGGTCCACATGTAGTACCTATATACGTAATATCAAAGCAATTGGACTTGCGGTTTTTAACAAGAAGTTGAAAATATCACTTTTTACCAAAAATATTCACCAAAATTAGAGAATTGAAGATATCATTACAAAATGAACAAATCTGAGAGAGGTCCACATGTAGTACCTATATATGTAATATCAAAGCAATTGGACTAGCGGTTTTTAACAAGAAGTTGAAAATATCACTTTTTACCAAAAATGACAAAAATATTCACCAAAATTAGAGAATTGAAGATAAGATAATGAAATGAACAAATCCGAGAGAGGTCTACCCAAGGTACATACAATGTATACACCAAGTTTTCAAGAAGAAGTCGAAAAAGTAAAACATTGACACGGACGACGACGGACAATCACTCGTATGATAAGCTCTGCTCGACAAAGTCGACAGCGGAGCTAAAAATGCATCACAATTACATTTGCTATGAATGTACAATACAACATATAATTACCTGTTTTACATAACTTAATTGCATTCTTCCATTCCTCATTCTCCACATCCAAATGCTGCAGGTCGATATCACATAGCAATGACAGCCGTGGAACGACTTTGTCAATGAACGGCTTTCTGCGTGGTGATTTGGTATGCGTACCATTCTTCACTGGGTAGTCGTATAAGAAAACGTTGACAAGCGTACTGTGAAAAAATAAGAAATCATGCATATAAATAAAGGCAATCTAGGAATGTATCTTAGTGACATCGTTTCATTTCACATTGAAATGCAAGGATACCAAGCAGTGATTAATGTCACACTCTTGAAATACCTTCTATTTTGAATAAGTTAAATAATAACTACGACATATGTAGCACACAAGTGTATGTGTATACCTATTATATCGGCTTGTGTATTCGTTTTGACTATAGCAATATACTAACAGTATATGATCCACATTTGGCTTATCTTTTAATCCTGCTTTCCAAATCTGGAAAAATGCTACAGTTTTGGTAATTTAGTGGTACATTATTCACTATAGATTTCCATCCAATACCCAATATTTAGATCACTTTACTACTCCCATGTACACTGACTGTTGTGACATACCTGCCAATTCTATCTCTGACATTCTTATAACTATGCATAAGATGAGGTTCCACACAAGACAGTAATCTATGAAGTAAGTCATCTACTCTCCATTCTTGCTGAGCTAGACCACCTTGAAGAATAAACAGCAAGCTAGGGGTGACAAAATGAAAATTTTTATACTGAGTGTGGAGGTATGTATGGGGGTCAAAAAACTAACTCTGCGACGCGATTGTGCGACTCGCCGAATGTCGATTATTGCACTCTGCGACAGGATCGCAGTGTCACTCTGCAAAGAGCACGATTCCTATTGGTTGGTGGGTCGAACAGCGCGAATCTCAATGGTCGATGTTCACTGCATGACTTATAAAAAATTAATTTTTAAACGGTACGGTAAAAAAAAAGTGTGTAAACACTATGTACTGGCGACATGCCGCACTGTTCGGTGATCGGCAAGCACATGAAGACAAATTGTGGGACCAAACAAATGACACATGGTTTACGGTGATTGGACACATCACACCGCTGGCTAGAAAAATTAAATAGTATAACGTGCATGTTGGTCTTGGCTGCCTATTTACGGTGTAATGTTATCGCACAATCGCGTCGCAGAGTTAGTTTTTAGACCCCCATACATACATGGAGTGTGAATTGAATGTACTGGAAGCAAGGATTGAAATGCATGCAAGGGCAAAGCCAAGGTCCAAAATGCATTAGATAACAAAACTGGGTATATTAAATTAATTAAAACTCTACAATAGAATACCTGTTTTGACCAAGTAACATTTGGTCAAATAGTTGACAATCAAATAAACATTGAAGTAGAATTACAATTATGCAAAGAACTGACATTTGTTAATTTCTTCAGCTCAATATCAGTCTCTGAATGAAGTTTCAGTTTGGACAGACAGACAGACAGACAGACTGACACACAGACACACAGACAGACAGACACATAGAACCCAATCAATGGCTGTCCAATCGAGACTGTCTTACCTGGAATCATTGAACGAGCCCACATCTCCACACAGCTGTTTTTCAAACAAGAGTTCGAACAACCAGTGGAGTTTGCGAGGATCCCGACTTTCGCAGGAGGTGGCTATTGACGTGGCCCAATCATTGACAGTCTCTACTGACAGATTAGTCAAGGCAGTTTTCATCACAGGCACAAGAAATTCCCATAGCTTATCCAACTGTAATGAAAAGTGAGAGTTGAAAATCAGAAGATGGTTGAATGACAATAAAGATAGTACCGTAGTAGTGAGTGTATTGGTGGGATTCAGTTTGTTGGCTTAACCTAGTGTGCTACAGTCAGTGATGATGACATGCCTAATTCGAAAATGAATATTTGCATACTTTTTTCATTTCAGAGATTTTAAAGTTACGTCACTCCCATAAAATGACCACAATAAAAATGTTCAGCTTTTAATAATCTGATATACTAATAGTTCTATATTCTAAAAAGATATCGGCAAATATGAACATCATTATTTCTTGACTTCAGATAAGGAATGTCTGAGAAATACCTACACAAGTTGGAAAACAAATCAGTACTCAAAAGTAAAGAGAATCAGAACACAAAACAAACTGACATGCCACGGTTTATGCTAAAACAAACAACCACAAGAAATGATTCTCAGAATCTACATTAAATAGTCATTGTCAATGTCAATGACATAGTCATGAAAAAGTGACATACTATTTTAGCGAATTGACGTAATAGCTAAATGTTGATTTAGCGAATCTCTCTCGTCTTTGTTGATTTCCTGTTTTCACAATACTTGTCTGTCGCCTGCTAAAACTAACGCGCAGTTATCACCGCCATAAAAACGAAGATAAACTAGTAAGTGTAATAAGGAAGCGCTCCAGATTATTACGTTTTCTGTGTTTACAAAGTGTGTGTGTGGAGAAAAAGATGTTGTTTGGTTGCCATTTTGAATTTATAATAAAGTCATTAGCGATATTTTAAATTAGCGAAATTGTTCTCTCGCCAAATTCGCGAAAAAGACATGTTTTACAGTGTATATATATATATGACCTAATAATGCGATGTATGTGTGAAGTTAGAACTTGATCGACCCATGCATGTGTGACATACGAATGCAAACACGCACAAGTCCCCATTTTCAAACAGGGAGTAAAATAGGAAAATCAGTTATATTTGTAAATAAGTATGAATGTATTGTGATATTTACTTACTTTCTCAAATGGCCAATGTTTGGAGCCTCGTATAAGGCCGGCAGTGAGCTCCGACAGACAACGTTGACCACTTTCCTGAGAGTCAACAGCTAATCGCTGCATATGAGGTTTAAAACGTTCTAAGAACGTGTCATCAAAATTCCTGAAAAGACCCTGTGAGAAATGAAAAGATATCATACAGCTTGAAATAATTCACATAATATCATAGTTAATACTGTAGAATACTTTATTTTCACTTGGAATTTATTTTCGCTGAAAGGATGATTCAGTGAAAATAAAATCCAGCGAATATACTTTTTTCCCTATATTTCACATTCAACTCGTCAAAAATCAGTGAAAATAAATTCCATACAAAACACTCAAAATGCCTTTTCAGCGAAAATTAATTCCACCTAAAATAAAGTATTTCACAGTAGTTGATTTTCAACTGTCACAAATTATTTTGATCATATTTGTTATTTGTATCATGACAAAAAAATGTGTCAGCTTTTAAATTTTGAAGCAGCATAAATTTTCACTTCAAGAAATTTTCAGAATTTCAAGATTTCTTGTAAAGACAAAATTCATGAGTTCACAATTTTCACTGACAATATGTCTCATGAAATTTAATAACAGTTTACAGTAATTCGGAAAAGACACAAAGACATTGTAGAACTTCCTATCAGATAGATTTACAATGCACAAAAACACAACATCTACAGAAACATTCCTTGAAAATCTAGAGAAAATATTTTCATCATGTGAACCACCAAGTTGAATTAGCGGACAATAAATGAATATTAACATTACCTTGAAGAGAATAAATTTTCTATTATTAAATCTATCTTTGCCTTTCTTTTCTTCTAATGATAAATAACCTATAAATTTATCCACAAAATCTTGATTAATAAAACAATCGTAAATCATCTGCTCTCCCTGAAAAAAAGAAAGAAAATACACCATATTATTGTTTTTGTTCTGAATGCCCCTAAACTATACATACGGATACTATCCCACTGATTAATACAGTGGATTAGGGTTGATCCAGTGTAAGTTTGACACATGAACAAGTTTGTCCAAAGCAGAGGATGCTAATAGAAAAACATGGTTGCAATTATGTTTTCTTGTCCAAATGAGTATACTTGATGGGGAACAGTTACAAAGTAAAAACAGTACAATCCATGTGATGTTGCTGATTCAAGGCTAAGGTCATTTGTGGACATTATGGTCATGAGCGCTATTTATAAAAGGTGTACAGAAGCACATATAAACCAAATATTGCATTTTGTTGTATATTGTTTCATTATTTTGACTGTAGAAACACCTGTTATGAACATGTGCATACTTGCTACTAATAAAAGCAAACACAATACTATTAGCAGCTTTCCGAGACACTGACAAACCCAAGGCATCAGTTTGGATTACATATAACATATATTGTGATCTGCTAGTACCTGTGATAGTTCATCTCTGCTTCTTCCTAGTTTGGGTTGTTCACTTGGCGGTGCATACATGTACATTGGTCTGTGTGAACAAACAAAAACACATGTGATTATAAGTTTAAATGAAACCAAGCTAGGTACACTCATAGACCCTCTAACAGGAGGGTCTATGGTACACTAGAGAAATGGTTGATGACATATTGACATGCTTTTTGGGGACTAAAATGGCCACTAATCGATCAAAATGAAAAAGAAATTGATGACCTACTGTATATACCATTATGTGTTGACAGGGTAATATGTTTATATGCTAAGTTTGAATAAAATAGGCACAGGCATGTATAACAAAAGGTTGCAAACTACTGTTAGGTTTATCTGAGAAAGAGATATTCATCTTTAATACATGAAATGAATCCTAAAAGTTCCTCAATTCAAATCTTTGGTTATTTTTTATAACCAAAGAAGAGAGAAGAGCGAACTAAAAAATATCCTCAGTTTAAAATAACGTGCTACCATTATGCTACAGTGAATAACATGAATACTGTATATCATGCTGTTAAAGCCGAGCTATTGAAGCATTGTACAATAGATGCGTGTAGGAATTGAGTTATATAATATATCAAATGATACATTGGGTTCACTGAGCAGGATGTAACACAGAGACTCATCTATGAATGACAAACCACAACTTTTGATTGTGTAACCTCATCTCTTGAAATATTTATAAATTGACAAATTACAAACTCGCACGAAAATGCGCCCACCCACTCGCACATACGGAAATACGCCCACCCACTCAAACATATTATATTGAAGAGCTGATACTTACTTTGGCCATGTGTAATACCCCCAATGTGTTTTTTCAATCATAACGCACTTCTCCCATTGTTCCTTTGTCTTTGGAATATTTTTAGTGTCGTAGTGATTCCATGCATTGTCCAGCCTGTCGCCCTGGTGTATCTCGTTTCGGGACGGGTGGTTGTCTGGCAGATTGGCTTGTTTGTAAGGATCCACTTCCACCATTTTGTGTTTTCGCTTCTGTTGTTTCAGTATCGCTCCCAATCCGTTGATCGCTGTCTATATATAGAAAAATATTACAAGTAGAAAGTATTAAAACAAAAGACGCAAAACAAAAGGTGCCATACTGGATGAGTCAATTCTATATGCACATGATATAAAGGTAAGTACACTATCGAGTGTAGAACAAAATGTGAATCCAGAATGGTGCCATGTGGAATTTAATATCATTATTTCTGATAAACCATTATTTAAACAATAATCAGAGTTTTGCCACTTGATTTACGCTCAAAACTTGAATGGTACGTTGCCATGAACATTGTTGGTATCAATTGAGTAAAGAGTGGAAAATATAGCAGGTCAAATAACAGCATGGAGCTAGCAGCTGCTCAGCCTAGTCAGTGTATCTGTCAACTGACAAAAAATACAGTTCTCTCAACTGCAATACAATTTGGATCACTGAACCGGTAACCATACAACATGTGTGGAGATAAGTGTACTGCAAAGTACCAGACTTACCTTTCTCATGATGATAGAATCATGAACGAGACAGTTTACAAAGCAGGCCACAGCATTGGGTGGTATTGGGATATCACTCCGAATTAATAACAGCAATAATCCTATACCAATTTGAGAAAATTTCCACCTCCTATTGAAAGAAACAGTGAGAAAATAATGTTTTATTGTAACTTGTCCAGTCAAAAAATAATTTAAAAATTAAAAATGCGCTATATATTTAATTTTTCCCTTTTCCTGAGATATATACAATTCATACATATATTGGTGGTACTTACAAGTCACCTGAGTCTATCAACTTGACTAAAGTATCAACCAGTTTATGATATAGGCTGAAAGAAAAAAAGAAAACACATTGGTTAACCAATCTGAAAATGTCTCACACAGAGTTTCGGCGGCTATATACTCATACTTATGCTAATAAGTTGCTACGCAATTAAAACAGCGGGCCCTTAGAATAACAAAAACATTTCAAAAATTTTTTTTAATATGCTATTCATCTTAAACTCCAATGTCAAGTGTGAAAAACTCTAAGTACTCTAAGTAGAAAAAGAATTAAACATAAAAACTGCAAAGCATTTGTTTTAAATACCGACATTAAGAATTACATCACGTGATTAATTAATCGATTTCGACAAAAAAATGAGTAAGCAAAATCTAAAATAGTGAGACGCATTTACAACTCTTGTGGCATTAAAATAATTCAGCAAGTACTATGACCAGGCAAAAAACTTCCTTGGCATTGGCAACAAATTATCAAATCAAAGAAAGCTTAGAAAGAACTCCCGTGTGCTGAGAGTATTGGAGACACATTAATTCAAAATTAATTGAACTTGAGATATTGATGGAAATGCAGAAAACTATCTATGCAAATAAGGTAACTAATATGAACACATTTAAGTGTAAAACTAATAAGGTCTGCGCAATGTAAAAGTAATAAGATCTGCGTAATGTAATATCTATGTACCAAGTTTCATTGAAATGTGATTAGAACCAAAAAATTATTAATTATTGTGCTAATTAAGAGAATTAATATGAACAGATTTTAACCCAAAAT